GGCGGCATGGGCATGGATATGATGGGCATGGGAGGCGGCGGCATGAACATGGGCGGCGGCATGGGCGGCAACATGCGAGGCCCCAGTATGGGCATGAGTATGGGCGGAAATATGGGAGGAAATATGGGAGGAAATATGGGCGGCGGTTTCGCAGGCATACCCACCAACCTCCTCGGCCAGCTCACAGAGGAGCAGCTTCAAGCGGCGCTCGCGCTCAAACGTAACGTACGTTCGATTTCTTAATACGACATATATAGCGTACTAATATACTCTCGTCGTTCAGTCCCAAGCCCAAGCTAACCAACAGCAGTTCAACTCGCCGACGCCAAACCCTCAACAGAACCAAGGCTTTTCGGCTAACCCCGGCATGCAGCGCCGCGACTCTGGTCCTCACCAGCAGCAGTCCAATCTCCAAGGCATACTGGCACATCAACAGGCGACCCAAGCTGCCGGCGCATTCTTCGACTCTAATCGCCCTTCTTCAACCGCGTCGGCCGGCTCTGCTCCCGGTATGGGCATGCAGATGAATTCCATGAATTCTATGAACAACATGAACATGGGTATGGGCGGCAACATGGGCGGTATGGGCGGCGCGATGGGTGGAATGGGCGCTATGCCGAACCTCAGTATGGGCATGGGCAATATGGGCAACATGGGTAACATCGGCATGGGCACCGACAGCGCGATGATGCCTCCGCCGCCTCCGCCCCGCCCGCCCAGCGCTCGTCCGGGTACAGCTCAGCTCCCGCCACAGTCTCCCGCACTTGGCAACATGCTTCCGCCTTCACGCCCGACAACTGCCGCCGGTTTGGGTGCTGGGAGTCCAACAGCGCCCTTTGCACCACCACCGCAGATGTCCATGGGCCCGGGTGGTTCACCTCGCCGGCGCACAAACAGCGGCGGGTTTGGTACGGGCCCTGACGCGATGATGGGCATGGGGCCCATGGGCGGCGTCGGAATGGGTCCTGCCGGCGGGATGAACTCTGCTGGAGGCATGGGCGGCATGATGGGTGGAATGGGTGGCCCAACATCCATCGGCGGTATGCCTGGCGCCATAAGCCAGATGCCCGGTCCCCGCGTCCCCGATCCCATGGTTGCCGCCGCTGCAGCCGTAACTTCGCCTATGGTGCCGAAACGAGAGCAGTCTGAATCGTTGCCTCCGCCTTCGCGTGCGGGCAAACCGCCTTCTCTGCCGGCACCTGTACCGCCCAAACCAGCCAAGACCGAAGCGACTGTCCACGGTACGACTCTCGAACGCGCTACAACGCGCGTAAGCTACGTCAAGCCCGACGACTTCACCGCTATGAGCGAGGACGAAGTCGCACAAGTCAAAGGTTGGATGGAGGCCGATAAAGCCGATTACGGCCGATGGACGGACATGAAGACGCGGATGCATGAAGAGCAGGAAATCGCGAAGCGTGCTCTGACGGGATGGTGGGAGGAGAATGATTACCAGGAAAGGCCAAGAACGAAGTGGTCCATCATATATCCTGGCCAGGCGAGGGAGAAGAGGGAGAAGGAGAGAGAACGCGCGGCCAGAGGCAAGAAGGGCGCAGCGCAGGGACGCAAGGGATGGGCTGCGTAAGTTCTTCGAATGTCGCGTTATGGTAGTCGAAGGCTGACGACATCACAGACCGGCGAGGGTGAGGAAGGAAGACGTCGACAAGCCAGAATTACTGGTGCCTATCCGCCTTGAACTCGACGTCGAGCACCACAAGCTTCGTGATACCTTCGTTTGGAACCTGAACGGTAAACCGTATTCCATAAGCGGATAAAGACCACGCTCACTCGTATTCCCAGACAACGTCGTCTCGCCTGAAGCCTTTGCGCAGACAGTCGTCGACGATTACCAGCTCGCGCCCGCTTACGTCGCGACAATCGCCAAGCAAGTGACCGACCAGCTCGCCGACTTCCAGGCTCATCAGGCCGACGAGGGCGATGCGGACGACGAGTCGGGTCCCGTGCAAGGGCGTCTAGATCCCGGAGCCGAAGACGCCAAGTTCTGGGACATGTGGCGTGCTCGTAAGCGCCGGCGTCTATCGGGCGGTACGGCTGCCAACTTGCTACCGGCGGCGAACGACGATGACGCGCCGGAGGAACTGCGCATTATCGTGAAGCTTGAGATCACCGTTGGTAGCATCAAGCTCGACGACCAGTTCGAGTGGGATATCACCAACACTGGCGCCTCGCCTGAGCAGTTTGCTGAGGTCTACGCTGCTGATCTGGGACTCGGTGGGGAGTTCAAGACCGCCATCGCACACAGTATCCGCGAGCAGGTTCAGACGTACCAGAAGAGCTTGTTCCTCGTCGGTCATCCGAGCGATGGATCGGCCGTCCAGGACGAAGACCTCCGCATGTCGTTCCTCCCGTCCCTCGCCAGCGCCGCCCGCCCGCTCGACCAAGTCTCCTCGTTCACGCCGCTCTTGAACTATCTCTCCGACTCTGAACTTGAGCGCAACGACAAGGAACGCGAGCGCGATGCTGCACGCCGCAAGAAGCGTAACACCCGTGGTCGTCGTGGCGTTGCTCTGCCTGATCGCGAGCCCATCAAGACGGCGCGTACACCTGCCATCGGCTTTCCCGAGATCGACCCTGCCGTACTCGCTGCGAACCAGGCCGCTGCTGCACCGGCCGGTCGCCGTGCTGCCGCTGCCGCTGCCAGTCTTACGATCGCGAACATGGTCGCGAACGAGAACCGCGGCGAGGACGGGCCCGGCGTTGTCGCTACTCGTGCTCCTACCAGCGCGAACCAGGCTCATAACCAGGCCCAAGCCGCGCAGGCTGCCAAGGAGAAGGAGAAGCAAACTAAGGGTCACTTCAAGCCTCCTTCGTATGACCCCGCCGCCATCCATCCTCGCGCCCGTGTACCGATGCCGACGCGGACGACCGCTGCGGATGCTGCATCTCTCCCTCCGCCACTCGCAGATGATCCGCCCATGCCCATGGCCGCTACCCCTCCCGCCACGCGCAGCGGACACGCCGGGTACTTTAGCGCCCGCCGGGCGAAGGAGCTCGAACGCGAAGCCAAGGAGCGTGAGTTCGCGGACGGTCAGCATCCGAACATGATCGATGGCGTCTGGCACTGCTCGAACTGCGGTTGTCCCGAGGATATCGCAGTCGGCCGTCGTAAAGGTCCCTTGGGCGACAAGTCGCAGTGCGGGACGTGCGGCAAGTTCTGGCACCGCCATCGCAGGCCTCGTCCGGTCACGTACAACGCGGATCCCGCTTTCCATAGGAAGGTCAAGGAGGACGCGGACAAGGCGAAGAATGCGGGCCGGAGGAGGAGAGGCAATGTACAGAGGGAAGAGAGCACGCCTGGTACACCCAACAAGAGAGGACGAGCCAACAGTGTTGCTAGTACGAGCTCGAGCGCGAGTGAGGCGCCGCTCAGCATTGCTGCTGCTCGGGGCAGGCGGCGCGGTGCGACAGCGAACGTCGGGGAGGACGTGGGGACGCCTGCGACGGGTGGGGGCGAGCAAGAGGAGGAGGCTGAGGATAAGAAGCCTGAACCTACGCCTGAACAACCTGAGCAAGGTGCGGGTGCGCCCGGAGATGTGGATGAGCCCATGGAAGGTATTGAGCGCCCGCCGCAGTGGCTGATCCAAGCAACGGAGGACATGTGGAAGGAGTACCCGGATGACCGATTCGAAGTCGTCGACCGGCCGGGGAGGAATGGTGAGAAGGAGTGGAGGATGAAGTGCGTGGACTGTCCCGGAAAGGTGAGCTTTGAAGGGAGATAAGGTCTTAAGGGATGACAAGGGCTAATTGGATCTTTGCAGTTGTATAAGCCGAATAAGGAGGGCGAGCTCGGGTTGAGCAATTTCGAGGTCCATTTGAAGAATAGGCATCATCGGAGGATGGTCAATGACCGTCTGAACGGCATTATCCACCCCCCACCTGCGAACGGGAACGCGGACCCTACGTCTGCGAGCCCGCCGTAGTACCACTCTGAGTGTCATACCCCTTTGAACCCTACATATGTCTCGTCTCCACCTCCA